AATAATCCCAAGATATTTGTGTTTATTTACAATGGAGAGTTCTGTGTTATCAAGATGGTAAGTTTTTATGGAATTTTTGTTTACTGATGAGCAAGTGATTCCCATCAATTTTACATTTAGACAGATTAAGGTGCATACCATTATTTTTTCTCCATTCATTAACGTTCTTTAGGTCATTTTGAAGCATTGTTTCGTCATTATGAGATCTGATGGCATGTTATAAGACTGTATCATCAGCATATAAGGAAATATGGGACTTAAACAATATCAGGTAAGTCGAGAACAAATAAACTAAACAAGATTGGTCTCATAACAGACCCTTGTGGAACTCCAGATGAATAGGAGGAAGCATCCCAATAATTAACTTTTTAAGTACGGTTATACAAGAATAACTTAAACCATTTCCAGAGCAGCCCACAAATACCATAATTATGAAGTTTGTTTAGGAGAATAGAGTGATTAACGGTGTTGAAAGCACTACTCCAGTCCACTATCACGTCTGTGTGAGGGGAGCTTTCTTTTGTCCATTATTTTAGCCCAATGATGGTGAACAGCACTAACCAGGGTATTGCATGGACGGCCACTAACAAAACCATGTTAGTAATTGGAAATAAGTCCAAATGCATTCATGTAGGTTTTTAAATGGTTTGATACAACTCTTTCTAGTAGCTTTCCAACTACAGAACAAAGCGAGATAGGTCTATAGTTTGCAATGCAAGACCTGCTACCAGCCTTGTGCACAGGTACTATGCTCGCACGCTTCCAATCTGCAGGTGTTTCTCCAAGCTGTAAGGAAATATTAAAAAGTCGGCTGAGTGGCTCAGAGATATAGATTGCAGATATCTTCAGCATGGATGTTGTTATGGCATCCGGACCAGGGCTTTTACCAAATTTAAGTTTATTTATCAGTTTAAGAACTTCATGACTATTGGTTTGGATATAATTTAAAAAAGGAAATATGCCAGCATGGTCCCTGCACAAAAGCTCAGGAGTGAATAGGATTCACTTGTTTAGAGAAGTTGAAAGAAAAATAATCATTAAATGCTTGAGCAATCTGAGATGTATTAAAATCGTAGTCTTGTTAATTATAAAATTAGATGGTACAGGTTTTTTGCTCTTCAACTACGCACATATGACCAAAAGGCCTAATCAGTTATATATCTCTGATATGCAATCTTTGTTTCAAATTTTACCTTATTTTTATATATTTTGTATTTAGCCCATTATTAGCATCTTTGGATTGCACTTCAATTTTGTATAACCTATTTTTCTTCCTTATGCGCTTCAGAATGTCTACTGTGATCCAAGGTTTCTTCTTGGATTTTCGTTGTGGAACTGTCTTATAAATATTGTCAGGGAATTGTTTTTTAAAAGATTCCCATATTGTATTGATATCGTTATATTGAAAACAATGATCCCATGATAATATATTTTTCCTTTTATTTACACTTGTTTATATTATATTGAAAATTTTCTATTCTCCTTCAATTACTATGGCTTGTGGATTGCATTGAATATAATACTGGTGTTCTATAACACTAGGCCTATCAAGTCCTCCATGCATTTAAATATTATTTCAAAATTAATCAACCAATCAATTAAATGTTTAAATTTAATTATGATATGCGAGCCTAAATTACAATGCATTTGCAATATCTTGTAGGTGAGGTTGTATGAGTAGCACTTTTTTGACTAACGATGAATTTTATTTCACAAGCTTTTGCCCCAGACAATGGGGCTTCATCAGGTGAGTGAAGTGGTTCACAAGATACAGTAATATTTATAAATTGATATGATTGGATAATTAAGCTACATATATATGATAAACAATAAATCTGATTGGAAAGAGAAACAAAGAAGAAATCCCTATAGTTAGCAATAGTAGCTAGGTCTAGCTGGAAAAATGGAGATGTGTTGAAAGGTGCTAGGCACCGTAATAGCATAATGGTTTATAGATAAATCGTAAATAAAATCAAGTAAATCAAGAAATACAAGTATTGATATAAACCCTTGTGAATATGAGCACATTTAGAGTGGTATTATATAAGAAAATAACATACTCTAATAAAGTTTGTAAAAAATAGGCTACTAAAAATCAGCAAACAGAACAAAATATTCATATCTAAATTAACATACCAAAATAAATTACAAACAGAATCGACATAGTTTTTTTTTTTATTATTTACAACTTTCACAGATTAAAATAAATCCTAATGTGTGTTTGCTACGCAGTGTTTATGCATCATTTCCTCTCTTCAAACTCAACGAATCATGTGCTCTGATCCAGGGCTCTGGTTAACAAAATGAATTTGACATAAAGGAATTATAAATTTATCATATCCATCAAGGAATGAAAAATTACATCTATCAGATTTTACTGCCTCTTCAAAATTACGAACATCTGCCATAAATGTAACAAAAATTAAAAATAATAAGGTACTTAAGATGACACATGACCCATCATGACCTCCACCAGATTTACCCTTCCAGCCATATTTAACTGCCAGACGACAACACAGTGTCTTTTCCCCGAGGAGGCAGACACGAAAATGCTTAGTTCCTAATGATAACAGAATCACCTAGAATCAATGGAGTCAATATCTGAGAAAATGTAATGTACAAGTATAATACATTACACTCACACATTTGTGTCAAGTTCAGCTTACAATTCATGTTCATCAAAGAGTGGCCCTGTAATCCAAAACTTTCAAAAACAAAATCCGAAAACACTTAGATATCTCTCATAACAGGATTACATATGCACTGATGCCGGAGTGAACAACATTGCAAAGATACAATATCAGCAGTATTTTTAGACTGGCTACGACGACTAATGATTATTGGTAGATGTGCTTATGATTTTAATTCTTGTTGACGTCATTTGGGGATTTCCCAATATAGTGACTAGCCGACTACAAGTAGGAATTACTGTCGCCAACTATGCAACACAACTATTGGATTGTATTATGCCACGTCACCCTATTTGATATTTTACACAAAACACAAGCTCTGACTGTCAATACAATAACATAAACATAAACTTTTTATGTATTCTATGTATTTTTACGTATTTTAGCCTGCTAGTGGTGGTTGTTGTCGCTGTTGGTTAAAATGAATAAAATAAAATATATAAAATTAAAAAATAACTTTTTATTAGGGATAACTTTGTATGCCAAAGCACCAATAGAGTACAGTTATGTAGTGTATTTTATATACTGTATATACAAGAATGTAAAGAAGGATGCAAAATAACCCATTTCACTTAACTTTCTCTATGCAAGATTGTATCACAACCACTTTCAAGGCGCTTTTTCACTAAGGTCTCACAGCACAATATAATATGAACTACTATGGAAAAGGGTAAGCATTCAGGAGTGATTTAAAATGGAGAGGGTTGGAGAATTCAATTCAAAAATACATATAAACCAAATTAAACAACTGAATTTAAACAAAAAACAAAACGTTAACGGAATAACGGATGGATTAGTATATTTGGTTTCAGAAATCTGGTGCTTGAGCAGAGAAGGGATGGATTTGAGATTTGTTTTTAAGAGACATATATTCAATTCAATTCAAAATAAATTTATTCCAAATCTTTTCAAAGCATAGATAAACAGTACAGATATAAAAATGGAAATGGAAAGGGCAACCACAAACAAGCAGAGCTTTACACTTGTGGCGCCCGAAAAAAAAGTCATTAAGATACTCTTTCAAATTGACAAAGTAAGTCAAGGTATACATTTTAATTAAAGCCCTTTCATATCATAGATCAAGATAATAGTAATAATAATAATAATAATAATAATAATAATAATAATAATAATAATAATAATAATAAGAATAATAGCAAAGAAAAAGAATTATAAGGATATATATAAGAGAGTCAATTTCAAAATAGAGGAAATGCAGTCAACATGGACACTATGTGGTCATACTAAAAAAGTACTCACATACACGCAGTGTTGCAATAGATAATAGTAGAATGCTCAATTATATTTACAATTAGTTTACACACGTTTATATAATGCTATGCAACAACTTTGATTTACTCTGTTTATTTAATATAATTTCAAATGCATTTTCTCTTGGCTTACTGTAGCCTTTTGAGGGTGTATATCTGTTGTTTTATGAGATGTCTGGTCCTTTTCAAAAAACTTACAAAGACCTTTTGTTAAAAGGGCTATGCTAAATAGGTTATTTGCAGTGGTATGTAGCAAAAGGACTAGCATTTACAGTATCATCAGATCTCGACAGATAGAGTATTCACACTTCGCTTGCAACATACCTCCAGATTAATTTGATTAAAAAAATACAGGTCTCCCTCCAAATAAAGACCACTTTCGGGACCAGTGTGTTGCTGGTCTTTAGCAGCTTTAGTCTCAAATTAGAATAATAAAGATAAAAGGTATATGTTGATTTTGGGCCACAGAAAAGTGGTCTTTAATTGGAGGTGGTCTCCAATTGGAGGGGTCTTCATTAGAGGGAGACCTGTAATTTTACTATGATTTATGCTGTGATAGCCATTTCGTTTGGCTTTCTACAGCCTCTGTAGATGCATATTAGTCATTTGATTCCATGTGCGATATGCCACGGACTTGCTGTGGTCAAACGGTATGATGCTCATCTTCAAAGCAAGACGTCGGTAGTTACAGTTCAAATGTAAGTATTTTTTTTAATTAGTGATAATAAACTTTTCAATGAAGGGATAAGGTTTATACAACCATAACATTATTAATTATTCCGATATTTTGAAATTTTTTCTACAATTTAACAATATGTTTATAGTGCAATGCTGCAACTGTGATTAACTAAGTTTTCTAAACTTTAAACTTTCAAGATTTACTATGTTTGTTTTCACCAATTGTGCAAATTAAAATAGAAATATTAAAGACAAGGTTAGTGTATTTTGGAACATAAATCTAATTATGTTCCTAAAAAATGTCAACCCTTTTATAATAAAACATGGAACATAGCAATGAATATTTTACAGCATTACTTACCAATTTCAAGTGCCATTTCTGGATCTGCATCTATATCCAGGTAGACATGGCAAATTCCCTCACTATGTCCAAGTACTGGAATACCTTGACTCTGTTCTTGTATTTTCTGGATCATTTCCTTAGAGCCCCTTGGAATAACAAGGTCAATGAGGTCATTCAGCTTCAGAAGGTCACTGACATCCTCCCTTGTGCTGACCTTTAATATCAACATGCATAGTATTAAAATTAATATATCATTCATTGTAGTGTATAATCGTTATGTAATGTTCTAAAAATGCTCTCTGATTTACTGCTACGATGCTACTTAATGCACTTGTAGCACAGACTACTGAAATAAACAACTGTAATTACATCTGGTCATCTTGATATAGTTTTGTTATATAAAAGAAATAAAAATAACAATAATAATAATAATAATAATAATAATAATAATAATAATAATAATAATAACAATAGTTACAATATTCTTAATAAATATAATTAGACTTTACAACAAAATATTATAAATGTGCTTGCTGCAAAAAATCTGACCAGAGCAATAGCATCGGCACAGTCATGCAAGTTGAGAGCTTCTGTCACTAGGCTCTGAAGGTACTTGTTTGTCTGAATTGCTTCTTTGCCACCCTTCAATAACAGACCATTGCCACTGCTAAGAGCCAGGGCTGCAACCTAAATATAACAACAAAGAAACAAGAATGAATTTCAATTGATGTGTTTGATATTTGCTTACAAATATACTTTGAAAATGTTATAAGGAACCAAGACATACATTTAGTGTGTTTACTGCATTTTATTACTTCCACAGCCATAATTTTCCCTTCTCTTTTTTGCCTTTTAGTCTACATATGTATGTATGCCAATAAATAAAATCAAAAGTTAACTACAGTCAATATTTATTTGAGCATAGGTCTACATGAGTAAACTGGAAAAGCAAAATATATATTTTGACATATAAAAGGTAATATCTACATATTTATCTATATAAATGACCATCTGTACACCTTTGGTTCTGGTAGGGAACAAGTCTTCTCAAATAAGGACTGTTAACCATAGAGCCAGTGAATAAAATTGGCTCACATGCACTTTAAAGAACTCGGCGACCCCTGAGTGGGAAGGATGCTACCGTATGAGCTAGTCTACACTTCCAAGGCCTGTGAGACTGCAGTATAAATCATTAAATGAATCTAACTACACCATATATACATCAATGATGTTCTCCTCACCTCGTTGCTGATTACTGTTGTTTTCATCCAATTTTTGCCCAATGTACTGTCTTTGTTCCTATTATCTTTAATTTTCAAATAATGTCAAATTATATGATAAGTCACACTAACCTGTGGAAGGCAATCTGGACGGGACTCAAAAATGACCATAAGAACTCCAATAGGGACTGTAACCTGCTGCAGATTCAAACCTTCTGCTACCTTGGTTCGCTTCAAGACGCGTCCAATGTTCTCATGGGAAGTTGCAGCTATCTGTTTCAAGCCATTTGCTAAATTCTGCAATTTGCTTCGGTCGAGTGATAGACGGGAAATCATGGCATTAGACAGGTTACCTGCAAACAGAATAACATAATATCTTAGTAATTCAAGTCAAGTTCAAGTTCAAAATTTATTGTCATAAACAAGGTAAATGAAATTACTTAATAAATGAAACTAATTTATGAAATTATTGTAATTGCTTCATATCTGTTTGGGAAGCAGGTGTTTAGGGCAAAAATTCTTGGGCTGGTCATGGGTGTAGCCACTGGGAACTGCATTGTTAGAACACAAATGTTAAATTCAATTGTAATACTTTTTATGGAATGGGAGACTGGTGGTTTGGTTGAACAGAAGTGAATTTGACAGAATGGTCGAATGACTATGCGGTTAAGCCAAGGGAGCAGAAACCTACAGCCATAATATTGGCGCTGGTTCTAGCGGCACGTTCACCTGTGGTTCTGGATGTGGAACAAGTCTTTTCAGATAAGGACTATAAACCGTTGGCCAGTGTACAATCGGCTTATGTGCACTACAAAGAACCCAGTTCATATTTTAAGACAAGTAGGGGGTTACTCCGGTGTACTGGTCCATACAGCCCCTGTTGAGCACAGGCGAGAGTAGCTGGTACTAATTTTCTGGGCAGCTCGGACACGAAGAGACCCGTAGGGGAATAGTATGTTACTGAATGAGCTATAAAGTGCACGCTTTGAGTGCTCTGATTCTCATAAAATAGCGTTACATAAAAGGTGTAATGTATCCAGAACCATAAAACATTCTAATCAAAGATTCCATGGTGGTTATCAGACTTGTTTCATAACTAATCACAAAGGAAACAGAAATGTTTGGACATCAGTACCCGAGATCCTTGCCGAGTCCAGATCCATCTTGTTTGCTGCTAAAATTGATTCCTGTCTCTCAAGAAGAAGATTTGCTAATTTGTTGATCATCTCAGCTCGCTAAAGTAGAAAAGAATTTAGAAATGTTAATAACGTGATTACCAACAATTTTATACATAATTCCAAAATACAGAATACATTAGTAGTACATTTCATTTCTGCAACATTAGGTCTTTACCTGGTCTGCAGATAATGATTGTAGCTTACGGCCTCCTTCTCTAGCCCGGAGAGCTTGTTGATCTGATGACAGACCAGCTGGTTTTGTCTCACTGAAAAATGTGCCTACTTTCTTGCCCTTTACAACGTCTGTAATGACAGGCTGCTGTGACACTCCATTAGCAATGACCACACCAACACCACGATCTAGGGCCCAGTTGGCTGCCTTGACCTAGTATGTGAAAACAGGTGGGCGAAAAATATATCAATAGAAAGCATTTCAATAGTGAAAATATAATCTGTTGTAAACAAATATTTCTATTTCTGTTGTAATTTTGACTTATTCAAGCACATTCAGAACAGAAGTAATGAATTAAATAAAATTACAAAACAATTCATCATCATCATTTCTGTTTAATGTCTGTTTTCCTTTTTTTGGGTTTGTTAGGTGTTAGGTTATACCTAATACATTTATTTTACTATAATACAATGTTAAATACTGTAATGTTATTTTTACTATACTTTGTAATAGTTTAGGCTGTATTAGCCATATTGTAGAGTGCATGTACAAAGTTCGTTCTAAAGTGCCCTCATCAATTTTGTTGTCCAAATCACCTGTTGGCTAATATTCCTAATAAGGTTAAGGGACTGTTGAATCTGAGTTGTGTGAAGATGTCATCTACAACTTCATCCTCAAGAAGATGATGTCATTCCCAAATTCATCTTAAAGTTAGTAAATTCATCTTAAAGTTATGTGTGGTGATGTCAAAATAATCTCCCCCACATATCCTGTTCATAAATGTATAAAATGGGGTACAATCCTATCATTTAGTCAGTCCAAAAGTTCTAAAGTTATCATTAACTTTATTACATGTCTGCTGTCTGCCGTAGTTCATTAAGTTTATCTATAGACCTTGCCGGTCTCGGACACAAGTCTTTGATCCAACTTACTTAGCCGTGGGCTCAGCTAATTCTGTAAGTTTTCGAGCATCTTAAAGTATTTAATTGTTTTTTACCACCATCATTTTGTTCTCTTTTAATAATAATGTATCTATGTTTTTATTAATAAATGTACATATTGTATATAATACTAAGCTATTGTGTTTCCTATTCTCTGTTTGTGCTTTGCATGTAACAGGTTAGATATGGTTATAAGTACTTTTCAGTGCTTTTTAAACTGATGCTTAGTCCTGCCAAACCCTAATAAATCCCTGTTTCAATAATTTAATATGTATAAGAAATCATAGATAATACTTTTCTCTGTCAATATGTGTATTATATTATCATTTTAAGGTTAAATAAAACGTCAATTAAATTCATACTACCTTAGATTCCATGCCACCAAGCCCAACACGAGATTTACTCCCAAACACTACCCCAGCAGTGTCGCCTGGATAGACAGTGTCTAAGAGACGTGACCCCTCATGGCCTGGAGGAGCACTGAAGATTCCATTGACATCTGAGAGCAAAAGCAAAAGGTCAGCATTCATTTCAACTGCCAGACGTGCTGCCAAGCTATCATTGTCCTTTATGCTTATTACCTGCTGATAAAAAAATTGAAACACAGTATCAATAGAAAACATAACCTCTTTTATTAACTCTGTCTATCTGTCAGCAAGATTACACAAAACTAATGAATGGATCATCATAAAATTTACTGGAATGGTACATAATCATCAAAGAAAGTAACTTTCAATTTTCAGAATAGGTCAAAGGACAAAGTCACAGAAATTCATTTTTTTACCCTAAGCATAAAAAATGAAATAAAGGAATGGCCTGTCTGCGTATTGTTTGGTATTCAGGCACAGGGTGGAGGTATGAACTCTATGGAGGGACTGCTCAATTTACTTTTAAATATACATGGCTACAGAAATCATTTTAACGGTCTCAACATAGTTGTGAAGACTATTGCTATTCATAAAAGGAACTATAGTCATAGTTAGAGCTGAAGTATATTAAATTAATCTAGTTTAACCTTCAACCAAGATTCTCATTCCATAACAACATAGGTGAAATTTTCAGATCTTACTACATCCCACTTGAAGTCAGTGCAAATGCAGAGGGTGGGAAACAAATCCATCAGGCGCAAGCTCGGTGGTCTAGTGATCTGGAGATCGTGGGTTCGAGTCCCACCCGAGAACAACTTGCGATTTTTTTTCGCAGTTGTTTTCAAATGTACTGAGTATTCGGTACATTTCCACGTCAGGTAGGGCAAA